ATAATGAGCACATGTTCGCTGCCGGGCCCATTCATTCCTATTTCGGGGAGTCAAAAACAACACTTTTCCAAGCAAGCTCTCACTTTATCTCATAGTTTCATACAAGCATGAAAACATCACAAAATAGCAAGATATACAAGCTGAAAACAGCAGAAAGTTTCCAGAATTTTGACCTGGATTGCAGAATTTTCTGGGAAAAAACGGTAACACATTTTGACACAAAATTTTGCAGATATGTAGTTCATCAAGTCTAGAACGTACACAAATATTTTCATGCCAATCCAAGGTCTAAAAGTATTTTTCCCAACATTGCTCCAGGCAGAAAAATAATTGACAGCACACTGCCAAAACTTTACAAAATTTTCTGGGATAACTGGAGCATATTTTCAACAAAAACTTTTTATAGATATCAAATGACACAAGTTTAGGTTCTCCAGGAAAAATTTCATTCCAAAAGGAGTTCAAGAAGTATTTTTCACGAATTTAATTTTCAAACTGCGCCGGTCAGAATTTTCAGGCAGTGATTACTATGTGTAAAAAAAAAAAAATTATTCATAATTTGTTTGCTTCAGGCAAACCAGCATGATGTGATTCAATTTTGACTTTTGGGGAGTAGCATAGTATTAGAAATAGAAGTTGCAAACTTCATTCATGAGTCATAAGTCACCTTAAAGATCAATCCCATTTGGGATCTTCTAGACCTTTATTAAAAAGGATCTGATGACCAAGCATATTGCCAAGTAGGAAAGACTCGGAACTCATAAAGTACATTCCTACAAAAAAAACTAAAATTTTGATGTCTTTTAAAAACAATGACAGTCAAAATACTTATTATAATCTGGTCATGTACTACTACAGGAGTACAAGGTGACTATCACATATGACAATGAGACCCACACTATTTTAAATAATTTTAGTTATGTACTTCTACTAGAGTACAACGGATTTATGTACCATCCGAAAGGTACCATCCGAGAAGTAAAACCCGTCCAGAAAATTAAACATAGAGAAGTAAATTCTGAATTGTCAAATAATTCCGGGTGACCCACGAGAATTAACTTCTCAGATCATGCGTCCATTTTATACATTAATGGGTCACAATAATTTATTGATCGTAGGATCATACGATCCTTCAGGGATCAACTTAGGCTCTATGAATCTTTTCGATCAAATATTCATAACCGATGGTTTAGACTAAAAGGTGTCAAATAAAAATTAGTGCTCTAAGTGTTTACCTTCTGGGCAAAACAATATTGAAAATATGCACTTTTATTGTGTCCAAATACTCACATTTGAGATATTCAAGATTCAAGACTCATGCCATATAATTTTATGATAAAAATTAGCACCATCAATATGCATGAATTTGGACAAATAAATCATTTGACTTCCAAATCAGAATTAAGTCAATTTGACATTAGTCATATAAATTGTCGTAATGCTTTTATCATATAACTAGTGCTATGAATTCGCCTTCTGGGCAATGCTATGTTTAAAAATCCATGCTATAACCACTTGTTGATTAAGACAATCCTACAAGGACTATCATATAATAAGTGTATAAAATAATGACTTTAATTTTCCATCCGAGCAGGGCTCCCAAGAGATTTAAGAGGAATCTGAAAATATATGGCCTATAGCAAAGAATTGTTACCATCAAGAGCAAATCAGTATGTGCTCTTTTATAGTGATTCACATTGACATATATAAAACATATTCAAGCAAATGATAGCCAATGATATGAAGCACATAGTTAATCACCGTGCATATTTAAAATATTTGATAAAGATATGTTTTCAGGAAAATATGGCTACTTGCACAGAATAACCAGCTACCTTAGCATATAAATATATGCATGTCTAAATATTTTCTTTGAAAAATGAGAATACCTGACTCTGGTTTAATTACAAAGCAAGTAGGTTGCACTTGTAGTATTGGCAGGAAACCTGCTGCGGTGCTGCCTAAACATTTGTTGAAGAGGGAAAGAGGATGCGAGGTCCAAAAAAACCCATGATGCTTCTGCGCTCCATTTTATCAATATTTTGATTTAAACCAAATCAATCCGCTTCAAAGCACAATCCATAAATTCAAAACACAGGTATAAAGTATATATTATATGCCTTGCTTTAATTTTATGCTCTCCATACTGATCACTATATTAGTCATATAATGTATGCAAAAATAGATCATTATATACAGCAATATATGATGAGTACTTAGCTTATGGGGCTGCTGGAGAGCTCTATAGGATCACTTATTGTTGGTGGCTTTCCATGAGGGACGGGAAATGAAGGAAGATGCATTAGGCATTTTAATCATTTCACCGTCATCATTAACAAGCTTCGTTGTAGAAGGTCTCGCCACCACCGCCACCAAACAACAAAAGGGAAGGAATTATCATCACCAGATGGATGCCGACACCTTTGACCTGCGAAGGCCGACCGCCTGCTGCGATGATCGAACGCTGGCTGCGAAAACCCACCTGGTCTGGCCAGGATCGCCGCAAAGGGAGATCCACGATCGGAGAGAAGTCGTGACACCTCATTGGGCGAGACCGGACTACCGCGATGGACACACCGATCACCTCCGATCTGCATCCTTTACTGCTATTGTTCGTCAGGTCCATGAGCAGGTAGCGGACGGCAGCAGATCGGCCTATCAAAGCTCTAATTTGATGATGGCCTTCTGCGAGTTGATGCCATCTCCTCTGCTCCAGAAAAAATGGCAGCCTTCCTCGTCGTTGGAGAATCGGCGTCGTCCCTTTGGAGGAAGCCGTCGAAGGCTGAGGTAATCCAGATGGGGAAGTTCCGAGTGTCCCTCGATTTCTCCGCGGTGATCCAGATTAGCCTCCTCAACCGACTATCGGAGTATCTACGGCGGCGTCGCTCCAGAACTCAACCCACCTCGGCGTCTCGCGTTTCGACCCCGTCTTCGTCGTTGGAGGTAGTTAGCTTGTCGATCGGAGGTCTGATTTTGGCGATGATGCGGGTGGCGACGATCCAATGATTTCAACGATGAACCATGATGACGAAGTGTCTGAGGCGATTTTAGGTTTGGATTTGAAGCCAAAAACATTATCGTAGTTCTCCGAGAATTGATGTAGAGCAAAAGTTGCTGATAACGTGTTGTAATAAGCCTATTAGCTCAAACATATTGACCAATGGGAATTTAGATAAAGAAGATAGAGAAGAGATGAAGAACACAATAAGCCAAGAGACCTCTCATTCTGTTATTTCAATATCTGGATATATACACATGTACAATCATTAACTATTATACTAAATGACATAACTGTTACATATGTTACAAATCAACAATAATGTCCATAATGAATGAGATATTTATAACAAATTTAACCATTTCATTTTCCATTTTAGTCAATTATGGATCATTTTTTTAGTCAATTATTAATACTCATTTCCTTTTTCAATTAATCTAATTTCCATTCCTTTTTTCATTTTTAATTTTCAGTCAATTATTAATATTCATTTCTGATAGGGTACGGACTCAATGGGCTAGAAGCCCAAGAAAGAGTGGACCAAGAAATGGGCTTGCCGCAATGGGCCCAAAAGGATAAAGAAATCTACGCTGTGGGCTTTGAACAGACCATGTAGAAAGCTCGGATGAGTGGGGAGCCGAGTCCAGGGAGTCGGCTCAGCAGGTGACCGTTGCCGCTTCAATGCTCGCCATTAATACAGGTCAATCCGGCTGTTGGGAGAGTCCAGTAACGGCGACCTAACGACTCTTAGACTTTTATTTCTCATTATTGCATATTAAAAAACTGTATTTAAATTGGCAGAAGGTAGTCGCCTATAAATAGGTCCCTTCGTGAATGTAAAAGGGGGCAGTTTTTTGGCCAAGAGAGCAAAAGAAAGACTCAGAGATTATAAAATATCCTACTTTCTCAACCACCTTTTCTTTCAAAGTTGTCTTCCTACATTCTCTTCCGGTGAATCCACCAATCTAGCGGATTGTGTTGGAACTCTGTGGGCCCCAAAAACTCTAAAACCAACATTGGCGGCGTCCGTTGGGATCGACACTAAAAGTCGCGTCCCGGACTTTACACGAGCAAGTCGGAAGACATCGAATTGAGAAGATTCATGGAGGACGATAGGGTAAGAGAATGGCAGAAGAAGAGCAAGTCATGCCTTTGGAGGTAATAACGGTCGTAATGCAGGAAGAGATTTGCGAGAGCAGCTAAGTCAGCGCAGTTCGCGAGAACGATAGAGTGACTAGGCACCCCGACCTCCGCCGCCACCTATGGTTCCGCTTACACCCGCTCAGATCGACACTATCGCTCAAGCAGTGGCAGCATGAACGCAAAGGCAGAGGGTCCCATCGACCTCTCGGTCCCCCCGTGCGCCGCGAAGTGATTGGGTCTAACCCTCTGAGCACGAGGGGAAAGACCAGGAGAATCGAGGGTATGGCAGTCAGCGGGCCAGATCCGTGCACTCGAGATTGGGCCCTGATGCCACTCGACGCTCCGTAAGAGAATGATTAGGCGAGAAGGCGCCTGGCCGAGTTCCGCCCACTCGGCGAAAAGAGGGGGCGACAGCCTTGCGACTGACCATGACCCAGAGTCGGCGAATCAGGAAGAGGGTAGCGGAGGAAAGGCATCAAGCCGAGTCTCAAGAGGGAGAAAACACCGAATCAATGGGGAATCGGGTGGAAAACCCCGACGAAGTGGTTTACCAAGTGCAAGAGATACGCAACTTGAAGGATCAAATGGAAGGAAAATCAAAGTCGCCTGGTCGGGCTTTGCTCACCACCTTGCCTTTTTCGACCGAGATCATGTGATTCATAATACCCGGGGATTTCAAATTCCCCGAGCAGGCTACCTTCGACGGAATAGGTGACCCACGGGAGCACCTCTTAAGCTACCAAGCAAAGATGCAAGTCCTAGGAGTAAGGGACCCGGTCTTAAATGGTCCTGCTCAGAGGTGGCTCGTTTCCCTTCCGCCTGGGTCTATCCGTAGCTTTGAAGATTTGGCAACCAATTCATGAGCCACTATGCGGCCAACATCAAACTTCAAAAGGATCTGACGCACCTTGGCGACATTCATCAAGACGAGGGCGAATTGCTCAAAGCCTATCTGGCACGATGGCAAAAGGAGATCCAAGTCATTGAAGGGGTCAAGGACCAGACTGCGCTCACATTTTTCATCGAGTCACTTCGATCTGAGAAGCTGTATACTAATCTCCGGGATAATCGGCCTGCCATCTATGCAGAAGCCATTCACATGGCCAACAAGCGGGCTAACACCGAGCAGGCGGTCAGGTACAAGAGGCAGCGAGAAACCGGTGAGACCTCCGGGTCTAAACAGGCAAAAGGCGAAGCGAGAGAGAAACACGAGAGGAACCGACCAAGTCATTTGGAAGGGAAGCGCTCTTTTGATAGAACCAGTGCCCATTCCTACCGACCGCCTCGCCCTCACCCGGTACATGAGGTTCGAGAAGGCGCGCCGCTTCCGCCAACACAACCGGGTGACCACCCTGAAGGATCAGACCCTAACAAATCGTCGAAGTACTGTCGTTATCACAAGTCGTATACACATACTACAGAGGAATGCTTCTATTTGAAGAAGATCATAGAGGAAATCATCCAACAAGGTACACCCCCTCCTAATAAGTGATCTAACACCCCGTATTTTCCTAAATATTTATATTAAATATAAATATTATCCAAATAGAACTATTTACTTATAATTAAGTATTTTGCTATATATATATATATATATATATATATATATATATATATATATATATATATATATATATATATATATATATATATATATATATATATATATATACCTGAATATGTTACTAGGGGCTTTGGTTAATTATTTTATAAACGATGATTTTAAATACCCGAATCCTAAGCCCACCTATATGTATTATATAGCTATTTATAATCCAAGGTGTCAAGCCTCACCAAGTGTCTAGCCCAAAGTTTATTTACAATCGGGTCCAAATCCCTTAATTTATTGATATGGTCCATGGTGGACCGTGAACCTTTGTCTAAAATAAAGCCCACTAGCCTTTTAGATAAAATAAAGAGGACCATCTTGCCTTCTCAGATTCGTATTAGGAATCACAAACCTCTTACATTCTCAGATTCGTATTAGGAATGCTAAACCTCTTACCTTCTCAGATTCGTATTAAGAATCCTAAACCTATTTAAAAGGAATTGGAAGGCATTAGAACCCTATCACCCATATCTCTCTCCCCCCCACACGAAATCCCTCCCAAGAACCCAGCCAAAGAATTCCCCATCACCAAGCTTAGGAAGGATCGATTGGAAGGAGACCTTGAGGAAAGATCTTAGGAAGTTGAGAGAAGTTTAATTAAGCCAAAAGGTAACCCATGCCTTAAACAACCTATTTTCCTTGCTATCTTTTATTTATTGGCTCCTTTGAATGATTGTATGTGTGATCTTGTAATTATGGCTTGATAGAACTTGTCTTAGGGTTTATATTGTGGTTTCTTGATAATCTTGATGTTTGACCGGACGCTTTTTGTAACACCCCGTGTTACGGACTCTAATCCCGGATTAATTATTTAATTAATTAATTCCGCTAATAATATTTAAAAAGGATTTAATTTGGTTAGGATTCTCATTAATTAATTAATGTGGTCCACCATGGACCGTTGATCCTTGTTTTAATAAGGACTTTAAGTCTATTAGAAATAAAGAAAGTGGGTCTTTACTATTTAGATTCTAATTAGGAATCCTAGACCTATATACCTGTTAGGAATAGAAAATAGTTCTTTACTATTCAGACTCTAATTAGGATTCCTAACTCTATAAATAGGGGATTAGAAAGTAATTAGAACCCTTACCACCCATAGTTATATTACACGAAATTATTCCCAAGAGATTCCCCACCGCCAAGCCTAGGGAGATCAATCGGATGGAAATCTTAGAGAATGTTAGTGTTTATTTTTGTAAGAAAAACCCCAACATATAATTGGCAATATTATTATGAAAAATTTAGATAGGGTTTAGCTTGGTGTTTGTTTGTCCTTAAAGAAGACAGACTGATCAGTACAATCAACAGACGCACTGCTAGATCAAGCCACTGAATATCTGATAAAGGAAAGTTTTCTAAAAAGCTGGGACGCGGTTATGAGATAACACTTTTGGAAAGAATATCAGCAAATCAGCGTGAAAGGTATGGACCGAATCTTAAAGATTTCTTTCTTCACAAAAAGTCCTACCATCTACAATCCGAGATATATTTGGAGAGTGGCCAAATCAAAGAAGTATCTATATCCTCATTCGTTCAAGAATTAGGGTTGCATTGATTGAAGCCGCAACACTCTATACTAAACAAAATACACATCTGTGGTTGTCATGCCTCTTCTCAAGACAATAAGTTCTTGGTGATTGTGAAGAAGAACTTGAGAAGTATCAACGTTGCTTAAACGAAAGGACGCGAAGATCACTTAGTTGTGGGAACAATGTGGGACTACGTCATTGAAGCGGACTGCGTCAGAGTTAGCTCTCCAATTGAAGGGATTTCATTGGACTTCTGCATGTGTGGCTCTCCGACTTCAACAATCCACTAAACCTTTGTAGACTGGGTACTGACCTTGTGTGGGGCACTTGGGTGAGATTGTTTTTTTCTCTACCTTTGTACATTGGATTATGAGTTAGTGGATTGGACGCCTTGGTGATCGCCCCCAGATGTAAATACACACTGTATCGAACTGGGTAAACAAACATATGTGTTGATTTACTTTCTGCCTTAGTCTTCCGCTTTTCAATTTATCTGGATGACTAATCAATTGAGCATCTGAGTCAGTCAGTCAAATATTCTAGTTGCTAGAAACTAAATCAATATTCGTATACTAAGAATATGCAAAATTACAGAGAAGAACCTTAATAACCAAGGGACGATTAATTAAGGCTAAGAGGTAACACAATAATTAGGTATAGATCATGTATATATGGCATTTGACTCACGAATGCTACACTACATATTAAATGTTTGCATCCATTAGTAAATGTGGTTCGCTTGTGTTGATATATGTGCATATGTGCTTTATAATGATTATGTGGCTATTCGAATCTGCACCCGCGTGGTATTAGCCTCTTATTTAGGTACATAAATAATTACATTTGCATGTTCGGTGCAACTTGTGATCCTATATGTTAAATCATTATAAATAATTTAAACAATGAACATGCCATGGGTAAGACTTCTATGTTATGTTATTATTCATTCATAAAAGTAACGTGATGGGAGTTGCATATTCATAACCTTATTATTTGGTGCATTTTGCTAGCACAATAGTTAGGCTTAAACCCAGTACATTTATATGTGTATATGTATATATTTCCCATATAATATTTTCCTTATGTACTACTATACTAATTTTGACTCCTTATCCCCAAAATGATCTCTAAGCTTCGGGGACGAAGCTTCTTGTGAGGGGGGAGGGTGTAACAACCCGTGTTACAGACTCTAATCCCGAATTAATTATTTAATTAATTTCTTTAATAATAATTAAAAAGGATTTAATTTGGTTAGGATTCCCTTTAATTAATTAATGTGGTCCACCATGGACCGTGGGCCATTGTTTATAATAAGGACTTTAAGTCTATTAGGAATAAAGAAAGTGGGCCTTTACTACTCAGAATCTAATTAGGAATTCTAGACCTATATACCTTTTAGGAATAGAAAATAGGTCTTTACTATTCAGACTCTGATTAGGATTCCTAACTCTATAAATAGGGGATTAGAAGGCAATTAGAACCATTACCACACATAGTTATATTACACGAAATTATTCCCAAGAGATTCCCCACCGCCAAGCCTAGGGAGATCAATTGGATGGAAATCTTAGAGAAGAACCTTAATAGCCAAGGGAGGATTAATTAAGGCTAAGAGGTAACCCATGTCTTACAAAACCTATTTTCCATGCTATATCTTATTCATTGGCTCCTTTGGTAATCGTATGTGTAATTTTGTGATTGAGTCTTGATAGAGCCTTGCCTAGGATTTATATTGTGTTTATCTGATAATCTTGATGTTCTTGATATTGTGATTAATTATATGTATGGTCTTGTATTTTAATTATGTCTAGAGCTTGTCCCTAGGATTTGTATCGTGAATCTTGTTTTTGTGATGTTCTTGGTATATTTGGGTGGGATTATGCATGATCGGGTGTTGAGTCTAGCCTAGGACTTGTATTTAGGATTTTGTGTATATATTTTTTGATGTTCTTGTGGTTCCGGATGCTCCTGAACCGTTATATGATTAATGTTGAGTCTTGGCATGTTTAGGAATCATGTTAGAACGTATTTGGAATGATTCTTGGTTTAATTTTCCGTTAATTGAATCCGTGGTATTGTTGTTGTGTGTTGGAACGTGTCTGGACATGGTTTCGGGTTCCACGAGAGATCCCGGGACCGAAAAGTTGCATGTGTATCAGTGGGGTGTAGGTGGGGGGCATGGGTACTCGCTGCCCGGGAACACTGTTCCAGCGGGCACCACGGCCCGCCGGGCACCCACTGGAGTTGTTGGCCGCCACTGCCGAGTGGCCGGCGGGTAGTCCTCCATCCGCCGCGCACCCACTGGAAAGTTGATGTGGGTCGTGGTGTTTTTCCCCGTTTGTTGTTTCCCTGCGTCCCATTGTGTCCTGTTGTACCCCGTTTGTCGTGTATGAGTCTCTTTTGATGTTTTGAATACCGTTCTAGGAATTTATGTGTAGTACGTGTCGTTGTTGTTATGTCTTGATTGTTATTGATAGATTATGTGTTAATTGATTGAATTATAATGGGTATTGTGGTCATTGCGCAATGGCCAGTGTGATTAATGATGATGAGATTGTGATTGGTGGAAATGAATTGTTGGCGGTTTGCACCACTTGTGCCCGGTCATTATACTAAAGGTACAGGCCTAGCGGTTACTGTGCTAAAGGCACAAACCCACCTTCGACTAGCTTGCCATTGAGCATGGGTCAGTTTATAAATGTTGCGGTGTCATGTCAGGGCTATATGCGCTGACCCCTTGATATTTGCACTAGAGGTGCGTATCATGTGAATGGCACTGCGGCACCATCTTGATATGTTGGTGGTTGATAGGTGGTTTGTCGGTGGGGGCATGTAGTTGCCCGGAGGAATAAGGGGAGACGATATAAGGGTGGCCTGGAGGTATAGGTTGGAACTTATATAAGGACAGAGGGGAGCTACAAGGTTGGAACTTGGTATAAGGTTGGAAGATGGAGTGTGTGCTTTGTTGATTACTTGCTAACTGTCTTGAATGCCTTTGTTGTCTCTATTTGCTATTTATACGCTTATATGTCTGTCATGTCTCGCAACGTGTTCTTAGGACGCATGCTAGTCTTTATGATTATTTATAATGTCGAGTCTATTAATGTATCTTGAGTCTTCTTCGATTTAAATTAGAGTCTTGTAAGTATATATGTATTCCGGTTTCAAAATGATTTCTTATATCTACCTATATTGTACTTAACACGTTGGAGTGGGTTACCAGCATTATTCACTAACGATTATTACACCGCATGTTTTTCAGGTACTGACCAGTAGCTTCGGAGTGCGCTAGACAGACTCGAGATTTAGCATTAGTTAGTCCTAGTCATAGTTTCTATGGCCGTGTGCCTG